GAGTTATTTTAGGCTATCAACTTGTAGAATTCTTCAGTGTAATCGATGACGGTTTTGCTACCTTGGTGAAGATTGTTAAATTATGAAAAGAGAGTTTGAACATAATTAGATAAAAGAAAATTCTCATGAGTCGAGATTTCATCTTCTCCAAAATGAAATCTTCATCTTCCAATTTTGAAGGCATATCTCTTGCACTACCATATTAAAGCATAACTTCAAAGTTTTATAGCAATTTATTTTACTTTTCAATCTTCAGGTATCTCCTTGTACTTGAAGAATTTCTCAATGGCATTAAGCCAATCAAGAAACTCTTCAGGTTGAAGTCAACCATAGAACTCTAGCAAGTCAATCTTCATATTGTCATTTGTACGAAAGAAACCTCTCCATAGATGAGCCTCCTACATCTTCTTTGGATGTAAAAGGATTCATGTCTTTGAATCCATCAGTTGTATAACCATAGCTTGAGTCTCTAGAGCCATGGGTTTCTTGATGCCTGAGGCACATGATAAGCTCTTCAACTTGTCTCCTTAATGCTTCAATTTTTGCATCCCTTTCATCTCTATCTAGTTGCATCATCCTTTCACCATGTTGCCCTTTGCCCCTTCTAGTTGCCATAAGACAAAAATACTCCAAGAGTGCATGGCTCTAATACTAAATGATATGTAACAAAAGGAAGAAAGGAGAGAGCGAGAAAATAAAGTGAGATATGGGAGAACAAAAGAGAACTCTCTTTTCAAGAGATAACTAAGAGCTAATAATTCAAAATATAAAATTTTGATAAGGTTTCGAAAACTAGAATGCCCCACCAATCTTCCTCCCCTCCCCTTTTATAGATCCCTTGTACAATAAATCCCATTAGCCACATAATTAATAAGTTACAATTTACTAACATTCAAACACAAATTCTAAGACATTAAATTCATGGTGTTTTCTACTTGGTGGTTTTGAGTTTTAATAGTTACCACAAGATACGAACCATCTTCTTGAAATTTGATAGGTATGGGATTGGAATTTATTGTCTTGGAATTTGGGAGCATCAATGCCCACCATGCACTGCATCACTTTCTTATATTGATATATCTAATAAAATCTAAACATAAATCCAATCACTTCTAAATCATTGGATCTCTGATAAGGAAGCATGTAGTCTTTTATTTCTCAAAAGTATTTGTAACTTTTTGTAGCTTTTCAATGATGTAATCCAAAATCTCTTTGATATGTGCTCAATATTCTGATAGTGAAACTTATGTCATGGTGCAAGTTTGGGCATATATTAATCTTCCCACTATAGATGCATAAAAAAATATTTTTATTTGCTTTTGTTCCAATTCATTCTTTGGATATTGCATAAAGCTAAATTTTATCACCTTTTTAAATTGGAAGTACACCCGCTGAACAATTTTCTATCTTAAGCCTCTGTAAAACTTAATATAACATATGCTTTCTGAGACAACCCTAATAATTTTTGTCACTTCGGTAGTATACTGTTAACATTATATTAACAGTATACGATAGTATACTGTTAATAGTATATTAACAGTATACTACTAACTGTATACTAGTAATAGTATTTTTATTTATTAGATAATAATATATTATTTTAATTTTAATACTGTTAATTTTTATTTATTTAAAATTATTGTTAGGTTTCGCAATAAATGACAAGTGTACAAAGCAACTCAATAGATTCTCCAATAACATAAAAAAGAGATCTTGCATGGAAATATAATTATGCAAAGGATCCGAAAGATCCTAATACAGTGACTTGCATGCTCTGCGATAAGACTACTAGAGGTGGTATTTTTCGTACAAAACAATATCTAGTAGGAAATTTTAAGAATGCAGCAACTTATAAAAAGTGTTCACCTGAGGTAAAAGAAGAGTTGCTAAGTTATATGAATGAATTGAAGATGCAAAAGAATAAATCTTATGGGAATTTACTAGAAGATAATGTTAAACATCTTAGGGATAAAGAAGAAGATTATTCTATGAGTATTAACCCAAGTGGGAAAAAAGTATATGATAAAAAAGGAAAAAAAGTTATGAGTACTAAGAAGGGTAAAAAAAGGCCTATGGATTTGTATATGTTTCAAGGATCACAAAAGCAACAAGGGCAAGTAGGAGGCTTTAAATTTAGATAAACAAATATAAGTGATGTTTGTGATAAAGAAATAAGAGGAAGAACAATTTAGCACATTGCTCGCTTCTTCTATCAGGCTGGTCTTCCCCTTAGTACAATTCGTTTAAACAGTTTTAAGAAAATGATTGAAGCTATTGGAAGATATGGTGCGAGATTAAAACCTCCAAGTTATTATGAGATGTGAGTTCTATTGTTGCAAAAAGAGTTGAATTTTACAAATAACTTCCTAAAGGGTCATAAAGAATCATGGGTAACACATGGTTGCTTTATTATGTCAGATGCTTGGACTGACAGAAGACGCAGAAGTATAATTAATTTTATAGTTAACTGTTCTATAAGGACTATGTTTGTGAAGTTAATAGATGTTTCATCTTTTGTAAAATCTGGAGACAAGATAAATGATTTACTTGACAAATTCGTGGAAGAAATTAGAGAGCAAAATGTCATTCAAATCATAACCGATAATGGAAGCAACTATGTATTAGCTAGTAATATTTATCTTTTGATTTTTTTTAATTTTTTTATTATTTTATCTTCAGTTAAATATGTCAAACTCTTAAGTCTTATCATTTTTGTTATCCTTCGTCTCAGGTATATTACTTGAAACAAAAAGACATCACTTATATTAGACTCCATGTACAACATATTATATTGATTTAATGTTGGAGGATATTAGAAAGATCTCAAACATTAAGAAACCTTAGAAAGGGTAATTTTTATTGTTAGATTTCTTTATAATCATATTTGAACTTTGAATATGATGAGAGAATTTACAAGCAACAAAGAATTAGTGAGATATGGTGTCACTTGATTTGCTACTTCATTTTTTATACTTTAGAGCGTGCATCGTCAAAAACATAATCTGAGAAACATATTTACTTCTGAGAAATGAGTGACAAGCAAATTGGTAAAAGAAGCAAAAGGAAAGAGAGCTACTGATATCATCTTAATGCTATCCTTGTGGAATCATGTAGCTTATATATTAAAGATAATAGGCCCTCTTGTTCGAGTCCTTCGATTGGTGGATAATGAAAATAAACTTATAATTGGATATATTTATGAGGTTATGGATAGAATAAATAAGATGATTAAAAGGTCGTTTAATGAAAATGAAGAAAAATATGAGAAAATTTTTATAATCATTGACGAAAGATGGAATTGTCAACTTCATTGTCCCTTACATGCAGCAGGATATTATTTGAATTCTGAATTCTTTTATAACATAAATTTTGTAGCTGAATGGTGGAGTCTTTTTAGAAATTCCATCCCGAACTTACAGCAATTTGCTATCAAAGTACTTAGTTTGACATGTAGTGCTTTGGGTTATGAGCGAAACTGGAGTGTCTTTGAGTATGTAAGGATTACTAAATATTTTTGTTTCAATTAATTAATTTATTTAGATAGATGTATTAATATATTTTTAAATTATATGACATGACAGATTCACTTAAAGAGAAGAAATCGGTTAGAACGTCAACAATTACACGTTCTTGTTTACATAAAGTATGATCAAGCTTTGAAGGCTCGTCATGATTTGCAAAATAGAATTGATCCAATTACATTACAAGATATTGATGATTCAAATGAGTGGTTTGTGAGAGAAATGGGTGTCAACTTGCAAGATGTCGAAGACGAGCTTGTATTTGAAGATGATAGATTGACATGGGGAGATGTGATAAGAGCTTCAGATGCTGGAGAATTATAAAAATATATAAGATAGATGATAAAGAAGAAAATGAGTGCAAAACCATCAAGCTCGACTCTTGTTATTATTGAAGACATAGAGAATAAAACATATTTTGATGAAGAGAAAGGACAAGAGGAAAAGGACGAATTCAATGAAGATGATTTGAGTGAATATAATGATAATATTGATTATGATTAATGACTTTGATGTAAAATTTTATTGTTTTGAATTTTAAAACTTTTTGTTAATGTGACATTGTGATTTTGTACCTTAGATTTTCTTAATTTAATAGAATATTTTTATTTAAATAATTATATTTATTAATTATATTATATATTTTTATATTTTAGTGCCTCGTTTCGCTCGGGCAAGCTCATAGCACCTCAGGCGTTTTTGGACCTAACGCTTATTAAATCACTGTTTGAGACACTCTACTACAAATTTTATGAATTACTCGACACTATCAATTTTTAGAAAAGTAGACTTGATGTTACTTGCAACTATAGTTCATTTAAATAAACGTCAATCTTTCCCAAATAACAGTGGGCATCTAGGACATCTATGAAATTTGCACCAATAAGAGAAGTTTAATCTATTAAACAAAGAAACAGAGGAAGCATGCGAATGAAGGGATACAAGAAGAAATACCATAAAATACTGATAAAATGCCTTCTCATTAATGCTTTGACTATAAACATAATCACATAAATAAAATTCAGACTTGTAACTACACTGTAAATGCATATTAAAGTTTTTTGGGGAAAACTAAGATATATGCCTTTTTTTATCTCACTTTATTTGATAATTGAATACGAGCAAACTATATATATTTATTATCTTTGGACATACAAAACAATTTAGTAGAATATGTCAATTATCACATTTATGTTCGTTAGCTGTTAGAATAATTAATCAACCTTTGGGCGATCCCAAAATTTCCTATTAACTATGAATTTCAATATACCCATTACAAAGTTTACCAAGGCATTTTCATTCATAAGCATGAACTAGAACAAAGTTTATTTGCATACAAAGTTTATGCCAGAAGTTTTTACTAGAACATGTGATTATTGTATTATCTGTTTGTTCCTTGATTTAGAATGCCATTTATTGTGTTTACTGGTGGTTATTATATGATAATTTGTCATTTGATGAACAACTTTTATCTAACAGGGAATACCGAAACAAAATTGCCAAGAAGAAATTCATCCCATGGCCCATAGAAATAAGGTTTTGTGAAGATTACCACTTCTCAGAACAATCTCCACCAAGGTAACATTCACTTATGCTCATTCTTATTTGTTCTTTGTTGCTTCCGAGAATTTGTGGATAAATAAAATTTTGATTTACCGGTTAGGTTTAGGTATTGGCTTAAAGTGAAAGGCAAACTTACAGATGACCCAGCATTGCATAGGTAAGTTATAGAAGATGCATCTTGAAAACACAGTTCGAAAACACTGTCATTTTTAAGTTATAAAAGATTGCATCTCGAAAACACAGTCATCTGGAAGAAATTCACCTTCATCCTGCGAATTGATAGTTTTTATAGCTGGACCACATGTTTTGGTCATGCATTGCTTTGATTTCGATTGTGTTTTTAAAAAATAACTGTGAAGTTTCTCATCCATTCTTTGTTTATTCAATACCTTGTACTTTTGTCTATAGAAGTACACAAGTTATCCTGTTTATTTTAGATGTGTTGAACTGTTGCCAAAGAGACCACAAGGCACTCCATATCTTGTGCAAAGTACTCCAAGGGTGATTGTCATTTAGTTGCTCAGTATTCTTGCAATATTTTTCTTTGATTTTTACTGTTGACACTTTTTTCTCTTCTATTTGTGGCTTTCTGTGTATTAGTTATTAATTTTTAAAACTTTTATATTAATCATCCAAACTTTTAGTATTGTATATCAGTTCTTGACATCTCAAATGTTGGACAAAATCTGCCCCATCATATTTTACCCCTCATATTGCACATCAATCATGTTGGGACGTGATATGCCAACTCATCTGGCTAGACATGTCACAATGATTTCATGGAGGATGAAAGTACAGATTGTAATTGTGCAATGACCAACTATTATGTAGACTGGGCAATTTCATTCATTCAGTATTGGGCACAAGTGTTGGACAATAATCATAGCTCCCATGGCCTGACTTCACCCACCATTAAATCAACCATTTTACTAATTTTCCATCCTTGTCTCATCTTTTCAGACTGAAGCTCCCTTTGCTTTTTTCATGAGGTTTTCTGTATTTTTTTTCTTTAAATCATAGTTTGATGTACCACTCAATATGGTGCAAAACAGATGGGATGTACCAATACATGGACTTCCACATTTTGGATGGTACACTTTTAGGTGCGATGTACTGGTACACGGACTTGCACATTTTGGATGGTACATTGTTAGGGGATTGTACCATGCAGTATGCCTCTTGTATCGCCTAATACGGTCGAAACTCAATCATTAGCGAACCGGTCCATGATGGTCAAATTTTGATCCAACTCCTCTTGTGTCAAGCCAGGTCTCAACAGATTGTTGGGCCCTATTTTGGCCCTTTAAATGTTCCTCCCTCCCCACTCTTTCACTCATCCTCACTCTCTCTTTCTCACACGCTCACTTGCTTAATCTTCCTAATCAGTTAGTGGAAATCAACTTCTTGATTTAGATGAAACAGGGATTAGAACTTGGGATCCGGTGGAATTTCTCTCTAGTTGAAGGCATTTAGCTTCTATGTTTTATTTATATTTCATATAATTAGAGGCATATGCATATTTAGGATGCTTACGTGTGATTAACATGATTCTTTTACATTTAGGCCCAATAAGGTCCATTCTCCAACAATTAGGCCCAAATTGGGGGTATTCAAACCTAACAATAGCTTCCTTATAGTTGTTTGATTATGAATATATTGGTTGATTATAGGTTTTCTCTTGTATTTAATGTGGTTGAAGTCTAATTAGATAATTGTTGGTGGAAACAATCTTTGAGCTGCGACGTCGGGGCCGACGTGGCTCGGTTCGGGTCCGGATGACGGGGGATCTTCCCGAGACGGCCTCCGAATTCGCCGAGGTGGTCTGATACGGTGGTCGGGACGGGGTCGTTGTTTCCTCCGGGTAGGAACTCCTCGTCTTCCCGTTCGGCGGGGACCTTCTGCTTCGCACCTGCACAAAGGTCGGGTCGGGGTGCTCAGCCCGACCCCTTCGACGATCAAGTCAGATGATAGTGGTTAGAGAATCTTTTCCTTCTTTTTTCCTCCAGTTCTCGATGAACGAGAGGGTATTTATAGGGAAGCTTACTGCTTCCTGAGCTGCTCGCTTGCAGGGGGCAGGCTTATCGTCTAACACTGGTGTTGGCGTGGCGTGAAGGATTGAGCTTGAGCAGGGTGTTAATGTGCCTCGGTCGGCGCTCCGGTCTGCATTGACCAGGTGCTGCGAGGCGTTATTTGGGACAGCTGACGTCACGCGAGTCTTATCGCAGTGATTACCCTCATCATATTCCCCCCCGGAAAGAAGCCATGCGTCGGTTGTTGTACTGGGAGTCCGATGCATGGCTTCAGCTTTGAGAAACTGTCCCTATCGGGTGTTAACCGGTCCGTTGCCGGGGGTGCGGGGGTCGTGGAGGTTCAGGGTTGCGTGCGCAGTGGGGACCCTGGGTAGTGTGCGACTGAGGAGCACAACCCAGTCGATCAGGCCGAGCAGAGGCTGCGGTCTTGAGCGACACGTAACTGAGGGCATGACTCAAGTGGACGGGCCGCGTAGAGGCGGTGGTCTCGAGCAGCATGGAGCCGAGGAGCACGATTCAGGCGGGCAGGCCGCGCAGAGGTTGTGGTCTCGGGCAGCATGGAGCTGAGGAGCACGACTCAGGCGGGCAGGCCGCGCAGAGGTTGTGGTCTCGGGCAGCATGGAGCCGAGGAGC